TTCTGGTGGCCTGGGCTCTAAGCAGTGTAGCTTGAATTGTAGAATTTTCTTTCCACTTTTTGTATAAATCTTGCAGGTGTCACATCATTGACAAATTCTGTACATATGGCATTCCACCTATACACCTGTTCAAAAGAGCAGGAAAAGCAAATCTAGCTGAAAAGAGGTCTGCCTGGCAGCAGAATTCGCAATTCAGCGCTTGTGTTACACAGATATTTCTGGACAAGTGGAGGCTCTCAAGAAGCATCTACTACAAACACATTCATGAAAATAATCCTTCTTGCAGGTTTGGACGACCAGATCTCTCAATTCCTCTCTGCTCCCTACTATATATTCAGGAGAGAGAAGGCATATGTAGAACCATCTTGCAGAACAGTTGGACCTTTACAATTTATAGGTGTTTTACTACTAACAGATCTGTGTTAGATAATCATTACTAATCAAAATGTGTTTTCTTCAAGGCTATCGTGTATCTCTTCTAAAGTGGGTTCAACCCTCTGCTGAATTTTAACATAACCTAATGCTCTAGAAAATCAATGGTATGGGTTTTTGCTCTTTAAAATGCTTTATAAAATGGTATTGGGGTTTGCTCTTATTTGTAGCATTTGGCATCAATGTGGAACAGCTTGTCCCTTTTCAATCTTATCTCTGTGATCTCAAACATTCTATAAACCTTCAGAGTCAATGGTCACACCTGACCAGATATATTTAAGCCCATGAGCCTGTGTCTTCTAAAATTATTCCTGAAATAAAATCCCTTAGTTTACCATTGGTTAATAATGATATCTATATCTGATAAGAATGCTGATGCCAATGAAAACATAATCCAAGGCATATCAAGGCCAACATATTTTTCTGAAACCTTCCACTTTCTTATGGAAGGGATTATTACATGATTTTTCTTCTCATCAGGTAGGGATCATCAGCCCAAATCTACAGGAGCCCAGGTAGGTAGGCTTAAATGGGTGAGACTCCCATCATTTAATAAGATAATTTACAGCTGGGCATGGTGGCTCATGCCTGTAATCCCTTTAGGAGGCCAAGGTGGGAGGATGACTTGAGCTCACAAGTTTGAGACCAGCCTGGGCAACATGGCAAAACCTCATCTCTACAAAAAATATACAAAAATTAGCTGGGTGTGATGGTATACATCTTTAGCCCCAGCTACTCAGGAGGCTGAGGCAGGAGGATCACTTGAGCTAGGAGTTCAAGGCTGCAGTGAGCTATGATCATGCCATTGCACTCCAGCCTGGGTAACTAGAGTGAAACTCCATCTCAAAGAAGAAAAAAAATACATGTATATATATATATATATATATATATATATATATATATATATATATATGTTTTAATTCAATTTTTAAAAATAGACCAGCACTGTGAGATCCTACCAAATCTATCACAACCGCTTTTTTTTTTCTTTTTTTGAGACAGACTTGCTCTATTGCCCAGGTTGGAGTGCAGTGGCACGATCTCGGCTCACTGCAACCTCTACCTCCCAGGTTCAAGCTGTTCTCCTGCCTCAGCCTCCCAAGTAGCTGGGATTACAGGCGCCTAGCTTATTTTATTTTATTTTATTTTTGTATTTTAGTAGAGATGGGGTTTCACCTTGTTGTCCACGCTGGTCTCGAACTCCTGAGCTCAGGCAATCCACCTGCCTCCGCCTCCCAAAGTGCTAGAATTACAGGCGTGAGTCACCGTGTCCAGCCCTGAGGGAAAAGTTTTTGACCCTGTGTGTATTTAATGTAGAAATGGATGTCTTTATATGTTAGGAGATAGTTTCATTTTAGAAAGTTAGATGCATTTTCCTTTAATAGTGTGCTGCTCAATGTGTACTGCCGTAAGATGTAAAATATAGCCCCGGAGTGTGGAGTATGGGAACAGCGTGGAATTTAGCTACAGAATTTATGCAAACTCACTGGAATATATTAAAATGCTGCTATAATATATTCCACAAAGGCCCAGATGCACTTCTGATACTCTGAGAAAAGTGTCACCAAGGCTGCAGGGGATGGCCATGACAGAAAAGGACCTTGGCATTTTTCATCAGAAAGATCCTTATGTATTGCAATATTATCATATCATTAGGCATCAAATTAACAAGTGCTGCCAATAACTATTAAAATTAATACGACAGGGGCCAGGCATGGTGGTTCTTGCCTGTCATCCCAACACTTTGGGAGGTCAAGGTGGGAGGATCATTTGAAGTCAAGAGTTTGAGACTAGCCAGGGCAACAAAGTGAGACCCTGTCTCTACAAAAAATAAAAATACAAACGTGTAGTGACATGTACCTGTAGTCCCAGCTACTCAGGAGGCTGAGGCGGGGGATCACTTGAGTCCAGGAGTTCAAGGCTGCAGTGAGCTATGATGGTGCCACTGCATTCTAGCCTGGGCAACAGAGTGAGACACTGTCTCTAAAAATAATAAGTAAATAAACAGACAAACAAATAAAAATGATACAACATACAATATGTGTGTTGGTTATTTCAACCACAAACCTCACGTTTATTGATTAAAAGTAAGAATACCTAAAACTTAATTCTGACAGAGCTGAAAAGAAAAAGTAATAATACCACTACACTGTTGCATCAAAACTTAAGTGACAGAAGTTAAAGTAGCTATTTTTGTTAAAAAGCTAGGCTGAGTGTGGTGGCTCATGCCTGTAATCCCAGCACTTTGGGAGGCCAAGGTGGGCAGATCACTTGTGATCAAGAGTTCAGGATCAGCCTGCCAACATGGTGAAACCCATCTCTACTAAAAATACAAAAATGAGCTGGGCATGCCAGTGGGCACCTGTAATCCCAGCTACTCAGGAGGCTGAGGCAGGAGAATCACTTAAACCCAGCAGAGGTAGAATCGCTTGAACCCGGCAGAGGCAGAAGTTGCATTGAGCAGATATGGTGCCACTGCACTCCAGCCTGGGCAACAGAGCACAACTGCATCTCAAAAAGAAAAAAAAAAAAAAGCTCATGTGTGCACAGTGTAATCCTCCTTTATGGCAGACAGTAAAAGAAGGAATTGGCGGGGCTTGTTGGCTCACGACTGTAATCCCAACACCTTGGGAGCTGAGGCAGGCAGATCACTTGAGGTCAGGAGTTCCAACATGGGGATACCCAATCTCTACCAAAAATACAAAACAATGAACTGGACGTGGTGGCACACGCCTGTAATCCCAGTGAGCCGAGGTCATGCCATTCGACTCCAGCCTGGGCAACATAGTGAGACTCTGTCTCAAAAAAAAAAACAAATTATCCCTCAGTATTTGTATGCATTTGAACATGAACATTAAAATGTTTGGATAAAAATTCAAGGTTCATGTATTTTTGCTGCTGTTGCTGTTGTTTTGTTTTGAGCTGGAGTCTCGCTCTATTGCCCAGGCTGGAGTGCAACCTCTGCCTCTCGGGTTCAAGCAATTCTCCTGCCTCAGCCTCCCAGGCAGCTGGGATTACAGATGCACACAACCACACCTGGCTTATTTTTTTTGTATTCAGTGGAGACGGGGTTTCACCATGTTGGTCAAGCTGGTCTCGAACTCCTGACCACAGGTGATCCAATCATCTTGGCCTCTCAAAGTGCTGGGATTAGACATGAGCCACCACGCCCAGGCTAGTTACTTTCTTTTACCTTTCAAGCTTAAAACCTTCTCTGGGGATTTTAAAATATACTTTGAGGCATCTCTTTTTTTTGATCTTGCAATTTGGTTCAACTCAAAAACCAATTATCTGTTATCCCATTAACACTCCTATCTCTATCCTATCATTGCTAATGTAATTTCTGCCTGTATTTGCAAGGGTTTGGTTAGATGTCAGCCTGGATTTTGAGTATAGACATATATCCAGAGCCATGTTTCTCAAGTTCAAAGCAGAGCCATCCTTTCCAAGTTCTTTCTAGGATTCCACTTTATTCAGTGTTTAACAACTAATCTTTGAGTTAAAGTTGAATTTTGAGGCAGAATTTTCCGAATTTCATAGTACTGGGACATATTCTCGGGCCTAAATCGGAAATAGACCTTAGCAACACTGTCCTGTCACAGCCAGTTGATAGTCATTTCTGTTATTTATCCTTAGATGAATTTAATTCTAGAAAGTATTTTCCAACTAAGATTGGATAGTTTTCATCGTACTACCTGTCACTTTACTCATGTTGACTCGTCACTCTCTGAAATGCATTCTATCCCCAAAGGTAATGGGAGGCACTTTCCTTAGGCTTGGCTCAGAGCAGATCACCCAAAGCTGATTGTCATAACACTTTTAGGTGTGCAGTTACTAGACCTAAGTACATTCACAGTGTGTAACCAATCCTCAGAACTTTTTCATCTTGCTAAAACGGATACTCTGTATCCATTAAATGACTGTCCATTTCCCCCTTTCCCTCAGCCTGGCAACCATCATTCTATTTATTTCTACGAGTTTGACTACTCTAGATACCTTATGTAAGTGGAATCATACAGTGTTTGCCCTTTTGTGACTGGCTTATTTCACTTAGCATATCTTCAAGGTTCACCCATGTTGTAGGATGTGTCAGAATTTCCTTCCTTTTTAAGGCAGAATAATAGTTCTTTGTATGTATATACCACATTTTGTTTATCCATTAATCTGTTAGATATTTGGGTACCTTCCACCTTTTGGCTACTGTAACTAATGTTGCTATGAATATGGATGTACAGATATTTCTTCAAGATCTTGTTTTCTCAGGCACAGAAAGACAAACATTGCGTAATCTCACTTATGTGTGGAATCTAAAAAGTGAGACTTACAGAAGCAGAGAGTAGGATGGTGGTTGGCAGAAGTTAGGGGCGGGGCGGGGAGTTACAGTATGGAGAAATGGGAGATGTTAGTCAAAGGATACAAAGTTGTAATTAAACAGAAGGATGACGTTTTAGTGATCTATTGCATGCATGGAGACTTTAGTTAATAATAATGCAATATGCATTTCAAAATTACTAATAGAGTTCAACCATTTTCACCATAAAAAAGTGATAAGTAGGCGAGGTCAAGAATATGTTAATTAGCTCTATTTAATCATTCCACAATGTCTACATATATCAAAGCATCACATTGTACCCCATAAATATATACAATTATTATTGGTCAATTGAAATAAAATTATAGATTAATTTTTGAAAAGACCCTGCTTTCCATGTTTTTGGATATATTCCCAGAAACGGTATTACTAGATCATATGGTAATTCTATTTTTAATTTTTTTAGTAACTGCCATACTGTTTTCCATAGCAGCGACACTATTTTACATTCCCACCAACAGTGTGCAAGAGTTCCAGTTTCTCCACATCCTTGCCAACGCTGTGATTTTCTGTATCTTTAATAGCAGTCATCCTAATCGGTGTGAGGTGGGTGATATCTCGTAGTTTTGATTGGCATTTCCTTAACAGTTAGTCATTTTGAGCATCTTTTCATATGCTTTTTGCCCATTTGCATTTCTTCTTTGCAGAAACATCTATACAAATCCTTTGCCCGTTATTAAATAGAGGGTTTGGTGTGTTTCGTTGTTACTGTTGTTACTATTTAGTTGTAGGAGTTCTTTATATATTCTGGATGCTAATCTTACCTAGATACATTGTTTGCAAATATTTCCTCCCATTCCATAGGTTGCTTTGTCATTCTGTGGGTTGTGTTCTGTGATGCACAGAAGTTTCTTTTTTTTTTTTTTTTTTTTTTTTTGCCCTCCAATGGATCCTTGTGAAAGTTTTAAATTTTGATGTAGTCAGTCCAATTTATTTATTTTTACTTTGTGTTGCCTGTGCTTTTGATGTCATATCTAAGAAATAAGGGGGCCGGGCATGGTGGCTCAAGCCTGTAATCCCAGCACTTTGGGAGGCCAAGGTGGGTGGATCACGAGGTCAAGAGATTGAGATCATCCTGGTCAACATGGTGAAACCCCGTCTTTACTAAAAATACAAAAAAAAATTAGCTGGGCATGGTGGCAAGTGCCTGTAATCGCAGCTACTCAGGAGGCTGAGGCAGGAGAATTGCCTGAACCCAGGAGGCGGAGGTTGCGGTGAGCCGAGATCGCGCCATTGCACACCAGCCTGGGTAACAAGAGCGAAACTCCGTCTCAAAAAAAAAAAAAAAGAAATCAATGCCAAATCCAGAAATCCAGTCATGAAGTCTTTTTCCCTTCAGTTTTCTAAGATGTCTATTGTTTTAGCTCTTCCATTTAGGACTCATCCATTTTCAGTTAATCTTGTGTATATGGTATAAGGTAAGAATCTAACTTTGTTCACGTAGATATCCATTTTTCCCAACCCCAGTTGTTGAAAATACTGTCCTTGCCTTATTGAATGATTTTGCTTCCCTTGTTGAAAATCATTTGACCATTATACAAGGGTTTATTTCTGGGATTTCTGTTCTATTCCACTGGTCTATGTCTTTATCTTTATACCAGTACCACAGTTTTGATTACTGTAGCTTTGTAATGAGTTTTGAAAAAAGGGAGTTCTTTTTTAAGATTGCTGGGTATTTGGAGTCCCTCGAGATTCCATATGAATGTTAGGATATATTTTTCTACTTCTACAAAAACATGCCATTGGGAGTTTACAGAGGGTACATTAAATCTGTAGACCACTTTGAGTAGTATTGACATCTTAGCAGTATTAAGTCTTCTAATCCGTGAACACAGGTTTTCTTTTCATTTATTTGTGTCTTCTTAATTTTTTTAGCCACATTTTGTAGTTTTTAGTGCAGCCTTTCACCTCCTGGGTTAAGTTTATTCCCAAATATTTTATTTTATCTTATTATTTACTTATGTATTTTCAGACAGTCTTACTCCATCACCCAGGCTGAAGTGCAGTGGCTCAATCTTGGCTCACTGCAAACCTCCATCTCCTGGTTCAAGAGATTCTCCTGCCTCAGCACCCCAAGTAGCTGGGATTACAGGCGCTTGCCACTCACACATGGCTAATTTTTGTATTTTTAGTAGAGATGGGGTTTTGCCATGTTGGCCAAGCCGGTCTCAAACTCCTGACCTCAGGTGATCTGCCCACCTCGGCCTCCTAAAGTGCTGGGTTTACAGGCATGAGCCACTGTGCCCAGCCTCAAAGTATTTTATTCTTTTCGATGCTATTGCAAATAGAATTGTTTACTTTCCTCTCTCTCACTCTCTTTTTTTTTTTTTTTTTTTGACACAGAGTTTCGTTTTCGTTGCCCAGGCTAGAGAGTGTAATGGCATGATCTCGGCTCACCACAACCTCCACCTCCTGGGTTCAAGCGATTCTCCTGCCTCAGCCTCCTGAGTAGCTAGAATTACAAGCATGCGCCACCATGCCCAGCTAATTTTGTATTTTTAGTAGAGTTGGGGTTTCTCCATGTTGGACAGGCTGGTCTTGAACACCCGACCTCAAGTGATCCTCCTGCCTTGGCCTCCTAAAGTGCTGGGATTATAGGCATGAGCCACTGCACCTGGCCTTTTTTTTTTTTTTTTTTTCCCCAACAGTCTTGCTCTGTCTCTCAGGCTGGAATGCAGTGGTGCAATCTCGGCTCACTGCAACCTCCAGACCTCCTAGGTTCAAAACATTCTCCTGCCTCAGCCTCCCAAGTAGCTGGGACTACAGGAACACACCACCATGCCTGGCTAATTTCTTTATTTTTAGTAGAGATGGGGTTTCACCATGTTGGCCAGGCTGGTCTCAAACTCCTGATCTTATAATCTGCCTGCCTCAGCCTCCCAAAATGCAGGGATTACAGGCGTGAGCCACTGTGCCTGGCTTTTGCTTCCACTTCATTTCATTTTCAGATTGTGCATTGCTAGTGTGTAGAAATGCAACTGAGTTTTGTGTGTTGATTTTATTTCTCCCAACTTTGCTGAATTGGGTTATTTGTTCTCACAGTTTTTTTATGCATGGAATTTAAGTCCCTCCTGATGCCTGTCACATCTGGCCAGGAGACTCTGCTCATCCTGGCTACTGTCTTCATCACTTTCCCCACAGCTCTTATGCTGCAGTCATCACTATGTGTATCAGGAGAGAGCTGCGTTGCTATAACACAACTACTGCCACCAGCAGGACTTCCTGGCTTGGTATTTAAACTGAAAAATGGACTAGTATTTTTAGGATAGGTTTGGTCATTGGTACCCCAAGGCTGGCCCTTTTCCTACTGTCCCTAAAATCATGACATTGCACCAACATGAAGTTGAATGGGTGTGAAAGGCCTAGAAACCAGAAACTTGAACACTTCAGGAATTTCTTTGGAACAACTGAGGCAGAGGCTTCTTCCTTGAACGGCATGCTGGTACCCTTCCTGAAGAAGATAGTCTGGACTGATTCTGCTATGATTACTGGAATGTCAACCCCATCATTCACTGCATTTGAATCCCTGATCTGCATGACCAGCTGCACAAGGCAGCTTCATGGAGATGGGCCTCTGGGAGCCTAAGCCACTTTTTTTTTTATTCAAAAAGCATTTGAGGCTGGGTGTGGTGGCTCACGCCTGTAATCCCAACATTTTGGGAGGTCAAGACAGGTGGATCACAAGGTCAGGAGTTTGAGACCAGCTGCTCGGGAGGTTGAGGCAGGAGAATCACTTGAACCTGGGAGAAGGAGGTTGCAGTGAGCCGAGACAGTGCCATTGCACTCCAACCTGGGCGACAGAACAAGACCCCGTCTCAAAAAAAAAAAAAAAAAAAAAGCATTTGATAGAAGATCAAGGAGCTTTAGTTGCCAACAGGAAAATGCAGATATACCATTCAACCATATGGCTTTCCAATATGTCTCAACTCTGTACTGATGCTGCCTTCTAATTCCTTCCACTCCTGGAAGGGTGAGTGTCCACGTTTGATATTACCATCTTTCTAGGATCCTACTCACTACTCATGGGATACCTTTATTCAGACATTTCTGACTTGCCTTTTGTAGCATCTGCTTTTTACCAAAATGATAGAATTTGACCTAGAGAAAATTGAATTATTTGGGCTATATCCCATCATCATCTCTCTCTGGAGGCATTGATCAACCATCGGAATCTTCAAGTCTGTGGATTTGGGGGGCTACTCTTAGGGGTCCGGCATGTACTTCTCTTTGAGCAGGTCTTTTAAGAAACTTATCCCACCATTTCCTGGTCACCTGAGGCTCATGGCCACTGTGACCCAGCTCATCCTCCCGTCAAACACAATCAAGGTCCCTGTAAAGTGGAAAGAGGACACCAGGATTCAAGGCAAAACCTGGGAAACAGGCAGCCTAGAGCCCAGCCCATGGTAGATACTCATTTACATTTCAAACTCTGTACATCCCAGTAGTCCAGATCCATAGGGTCAGTGCTCTGACAGGGAAATGGGCAAAAATATATTATTTTTAAGATGGAGTCTCACTCTGTCACCCAGGCTGGAGTGCAGTGGTACAATCTCGGCTCACTGCAACCTCTGCCTCCCGGGTTCAAGCCATTTTTCCACCTCAGTCTCCTGAGTAGCTGGGATTACAGGCATGCACTACCACACCCGGCTATTTTTATATTTTAAGTAGAAACAGGGTTTCACCATATTGGCTAGGCTGGTCTTAAACTCCTGACCTCAAGTGATCAACCCACCTAAAGTGCTGGGATTGTGGGTGTGAGCCACCGCACGCTATCAAAATTTCTTCACTTGTGAGATTCTCACTGGAAAAGAGGATCCAAAAATTTCATGGGCAATGACATGAACTTGAACTGAAAAAGCAACAAGAGGCAGAGCAGATGAAGGATCAGATCACCACTGTCAGTACAAACCTCTTTTCTGTTTATGGGCTCCGTCTTAGCCTGTGATGTCTCTCTTCCTACACAGGGCTGCCTGGATTCTGGTCCACGTTGTATGACATTTTATCTGGATGCCATCACCATTTTTCAGACCCTACCCAATGACACAGCTGCACTACAAATGAGGGCATTGCAAAGCCCCCCTTGGGACTGTGGAGGCACTAGACTCTTCTCCAGCCTCTCCCAGGCTTTCTGCAGCCAAATGCTCATACTTTAGTGTCATAACTTAGACCAATGACATGGTCTTCTGGAGTTTGATTCTCTGGCCAAATGGGGCCCATTCTATGATGTCAAGGCAAAGCCATCAGTTTGGTCAAGAGACTCATGAAAGACCTTTCCTGACTTCTCAGGCTCCTGAACAGGATGATCTCAGATCCCCCCTCATACACGTGCTGGAACTCTGTTCTCTATCTTCTAGGTCAGTAATTTCAAAGGGCTTTCTTGGAGCCCCTCTAGGGAGTATTAGGGGAGGATCAAGCAAGACAAACTCCACCCCCTCTTTTTCTGGCTTCAGTCACAGCAGTTCTGCTTTTCTCTTACATTTTGTGCTTCATCCTAACATTTTTGTTAGAATAATGTATTCCACCGATTTTTCAGAAGGTTGGAAAACCAGTGATCTGTTCCAAGGGCACTATTCTGTGGCTGACACCTCCAGAAGCAAAGCACACTCACTGGCTTGTACTCTCACCACAGAAGGTCAATGGCGAGACCTTCTTTCCTCTATCAGAATTCCAGCCACGAGTTCATTATCCATCCCCTCCCCAAGGACCGTCAGGTAGTACCTCTCTGGACAGAGGGCAGAATTTTGCCAAAACACATTCTATCTGCCCTTTATGAACTGCAACCCCTGCCCTCCACACAGACATAGCATCGACAGACAGACAGACACCTCAGGATCCACAAGGCAGCCTAGGCCAAACCCCATACCACGCAGGTGACATATGGACATACACATAGTCTTATTGGAGATTTCTCCCCTGCTAACTTCAGTCAATTCTGAACAGTCTGTTCTTCCTTCACTATCACCCAAGCTACAGTCTATGACTAACCTTTGTTTCCCCTGCACTCAGAATCCAAGGACCGCATCCTCCATCTGCCTAGCCAAGCTGTTCAAGGAGTAGAACCATTTAGGATGGGTTTTCCTGCTCTCCAAGATCTTGAAGACGAAGATAGAAGCTGGTTTCCTACCCACTCTTTCTCTCCCAACTTGTATTGTCCCCTACATGGTCAAGCTCCCTCCCAAATTCAGATATTTACCTTGGTGCAGAGAAGAGCCAGACTTTAACAGCAGGCTGGACCCCTTTGCCCCAGGCTCCCAGAGTGTTCCTGAGGCCTAACTTGCTGGATGTGGAACAAAATGCTGGTATCCAGCCCCAGCTCTCCAGCTGTCTTCAAGGGACATGGGCCCAGCTTGTAGCCCCTTTCCTGCATCTCTGCCACTCCCATAGGAGGGAAGACCTTCTTTCACCCATAGAAAGGGTGGACACAGGGAGGGATCAGACTGGTTCTCTGATGGCAATCCAGGTCTACAGGCAGAACTTGTTCTTTCATAGCATGAACATTTGGGGAGGCATCAGGGCAAGAGGACAGGGGAATCAGAAGGAAGGACACAGAGAGGGCACTAAAACTTGCTGACAGGACAGGGTGGTGGAGGGTAAGGATTCTTCATGCCAGTGCGCAGTGACTGCGGATGAGGCAGTAGGATGAGAGGCCTGTTTTCTGTGCTGTTTCTAAATCCAAAACCCTCCTTGATTTGAGCAGGAAGGGGCATTGATTCTAGCCAGCGCTTCCAGGCTGGCCATCAAGGATGTACTTCTTTTCTCTGGATCCAGTCTGAATAGAAAGGCTTTCCCCCTTCCTTAATACTGCAGATTTCTGATCCGAAACAGCATTTTCCAAACTCTGAGAACAAAAAGGTCAAACATGTGAAACAATGCATGTATCACAATGCAATTGTGTAACAATGCTGAGAGTGATGCAGCCAAAGATATCAAGACTGCATCACTCTCAGCAAGAGCAGCCCTGAGCCTCTCTGGGTTTCCCCAGGACCCAGGTTTTCCTGATGGAAAGCTGAACTGAGTTCCCTTCTTCAGATCCCTTCCCCAGATCCTGCCCCTCAATGAAAACCAACCCCGGAAGCCCAGGGCCTTCTCACTCCCTCTGCTTCCCAGAGTGAGACTGGTGAGCTGCCATCCTAAGTTTCTCAGGCTACTCTCAGGGGTCTAGGAAGATTTGGGGTCCCCAGGTCATTCCTGGCTTTGTCCCCAGAGGACCGAAAGCTGTTTGTGGGGATGCTGGGCAAGCAGCAGGATGAGGAGGATGTCAGACGCCTGTTCCAGCCCTTCGGCCACATCGAGGAGTGCACGGTCCTGCGGAGTCCTGACGGCACCAGTAAAGGTGACCTGAGCTGACCGCGGGATTTCCTGGTGACCCTTCCTCACTCTGGGCCACATGACTCTTTGGCCCCTGTGGCCTGAGTCACCCCCTCCCTCTGTCCTGCCCCAGGCTGTGCCTTTGTGAAGTTCGGGAGTCAAGGGGAAGCTCAGGCGGCCATCCAGGGTCTGCACGGCAGCCGGACTATGGCGGTGAGGGCGGGTTCCCCGGGCTGAGGGTGAGCCCATTGGGATGGGGACTGGCTTCTTCTCCCCACGTGCGCTCGGTGCCCCGGGAAAGGAGCTGATGGGGAAGGGCCATCAGGGCCGGGGCCAGGGTCAGAACTGGTCACCACGGCCTTCCCTGCCCTGCTTAGGGCGCCTCGTCCAGCCTCGTGGTCAAGCTGGCTGACACCGACCGGGAGCGCGCGCTGCGGCGGATGCAGCAGATGGCCGGCCAGCTGGGTGCCTTCCACCCGGCACCACTGCCGCTAGGGGCCTGCAGTGCCTACACCACAGCGGTAGGTACCGGACACCCGCGTGCGAGGGCGCGCAGGTGGGTGGGCCAGGCCTGGGACTGGGAGCCGGGGCAGTTGTCCGCCCCTTGGCCCTCCACTCCTGCCCATCTTTCCTCGTAAAGATCCTGCAGCACCAGGCGGCCCTGCTGGCGGCGGCACAGGGCCCAGGCCTAGGCCCGGTGGCGGCAGTAGCGGCCCAGATGCAGCACGTGGCAGCCTTCAGCCTGGTGGCTGCGCCTCTGTTGCCCGCAGCAGGTACCGCGTCCAGGGACGGGGTCGCGCCTGGGAGGGGCCAGCGAGGCGGGGCGGGGCAAGGCGGCTGCCTGATTCTCCGACCTCTTCCGCCATCAGCAGCCAACTCTCCGCCCGGCAGCGGTCCTGGCACCCTCCCAGGTCTACCGACGCCCATCGGGATCAATGGATTCGGCCCTCTGACCCCCCAGACCAATGGGCAGCCGGGCTCCGACACGCTCTACAATAACGGACTGTCCCCTTACCCAGGTGGGCGCCCCCCCCCCCCCGCTGCGCTCAAATCCCCCCACCCCCAGAATTGGAGTGGGAAGCGGGGATGGGGGCGCATAGTGGGGTTGGGCCCGGCTTCCCTGGGAAGAGATCCCTCTCCTTCCCTGCTGCCTTTCACAGCCGCCCTCTACCCCTCACACTCTCTGAGCTTCTCACCAACTCTGCTCGCCCGCCTGCCTTCACCATGGGCCGTGCGCCCCTCTCTCCCCAGCCCAGAGCCCCGGCGTGGCTGACCCCCTGCAGCAGGCCTACGCTGGGATGCACCACTACGCAGGTTTCACTTGGCGCTACGCGGCCTGGGGGAGGTTGAAGGGCCCCAGAAAGAAATAGGGAGATTTGTGGGGGATTTAGACTCTGTTCCAAAGAGTTGATCCTCCCATCCCTCTACCCCCAGAACGACCTCTCTTGGGGTGAGGGTTATGGTGGACTGGGCTGAATTGGTCAAAAGCGACCAGGCAGATGGGGCCCTGATCGGGGGACGGCTCCTGGGGATCACTGCCCACTTCCCCTCTGTCTCCAGCAGCCTATCCGTCGGCCTATGCCCCGATGAGCACAGCTTTTCCCCAGCAGCCTTCAGCCCTGCCCCAGCAGCAGAGAGAAGGTGAGGGACTGAGGGCTGGAGAGCAGAGCCTTGGGGGGCTGGACTCAGGGTCCCTCCCCTGAACCAGCCTGCTACCGTTCCTGCAGGCCCGGAAGGCTGTAACCTCTTCATCTATCACCTGCCTCAGGAGTTTGGTGATGCGGAACTCATCCAGACATTCCTGCCCTTTGGAGCTGTTGTCTCTGCCAAAGTCTTTGTGGATCGAGCCACCAACCAGAGCAAATGTTTTGGTGAGCTGAGAACCTACCCCTAGGCCTCTCCCACCTCTAACTGTTAAGGATTCCCTACAGATCCTACAGTTGTCCTTCCATAAGGCAGTGATTTCCTGAGGTTCAATGTATGGCACAAAATGGGGTCACAAACCAGTGACGGGGCTTAGCTCAGGCCAAGAACAAACCTTGGTCGGGCGCAGTGCCTCATGCCTGTAATCTCAGCACTTTGGGAGACCGAGGTGGGCAAATCACTTGAGGTCAGGAGTCTGAGACTAGCCTGGCCAATATGGTGAAACCCTGTCTCTACTAAAAATACAAAAATTAGCAGGACATGGTGATGTGTGCCTGTAATCCCAGGTACTCAGGAGACTTAGGCAGGAGAATGCCTTGAAACCAGGAGGAAGAGTTTGTAGTGAGCCAAGATGGCACTGCTGCAGTCCAGCCTGGGCAACAGAACAAGACTCCATCTCAAAAATAAAAATTAAAAAGAACAAACCTTATTTCAGGTTTACCTGGATGATCAGGTGTCCACCAGGAATGTGCCCAGCTAGGTCAGGGCTTTGGAGTCTGGCCAGGGCAGGAGGAGTCTGGCTCTGAGACCAGAGATCCCCTCCAACTTCAATTGTGGTTCTGAGGACCAGAATGGGAGCGTGGAGGGAGACAGACAACCCATGCCAGGAAAAACACAAAACATCCCAATCAACACCCTGACCCGCACACACACTCAGAGTTGCCTCCCATCCTTGTAAGAATCACCCCTTTAGGAATCTCAGGCCATCTGCCTATGAATTTATATCCATGTGTGTACACAAACAGTGGAGGGGTATGTGTTTGATGGAACTGGCTTCAGGGGGCTGGAAGAGGAGGAGGCTGGTAGAGAGAAAGGAGGCCCTGCCAGGCAGAGTTCCCAGCTAACCTTTTTGCCCACACCCTCCAGGGTTTGTTAGTTTTGACAATCCAACTAGTGCCCAGACTGCTATTCAGGCGATGAATGGCTTTCAAATTGGCATGAAGAGGCTCAAGGTGCAGCTAAAGCGGCCCAAGGATGCCAACCGGCCTTACTGACCGGCTCTCACCGGCCAGCCACAGAGAGGTGAGTCTCTGATGGACCCCAGGCATGTGGCGCCTGAGTGATGACGCCCTCCCAGCTTTGATGCTCCTCCTTTTGGGACCTCAGAGGCACCCACCTCTGAGATAGAAAGAAGAGGCAGGAGATAGGAGGAATCCTTAGATGGAGACTTTGTGCTTTTCCTTCAATCCAAGGACTGAGATCAATTAGGCAACATTCCTGCTCTGCAGACTAGGAGAGACCATCAGAGTCTTTCTGCCTGGGGAAGCAGTTCTACTCCAGAGATAGCTGATGGGACTAGAGAGCCTGTATGTGGGGAGGGTTCAGGAGGCTGGAAAATGAGACTAGAAATTTGGGCCAGTTTTCAAGAGTTTGAAAGGCCGTGAGTTTGGACTTTATCCTGAAGATGAGAAAGAACTGTCGAGGAGTTTAAACAGAGAAAGAACTGGAAGTAAGGGCTGTTATAATGGCAGTGAACATGGGGATGGAGAAAGAGAAGCAAACATTCTTCAGAGGTAGAATCTGCAGAGCATGGTGGGTGATGGGGGGAGAGATGGGCCAGGTTCTTCTACCTTTTTAGCAAGGTCATGGGTCCATAGGATGCTACCTGCAACTTTTAGAGATTTTCTGTCTCCAAAGGCCCACAGGGCCCTGCCTCACTTTGAGCTACCCCAGGAGCTTCCTGGAGGGGATGTGGGGTTGGGGTCTCCCGCTCAGGATTCAGGGTCTGGTTTCAGTGGACCAGCCTGCTGCCTGGGCCCTGCTCTGGCCTTGCTCCTTGGGAAGAGGGGTCAAGCCGCTCACCTGAGATGTCACTGATGGGAGCAAGCTGCTCTTCTGGTCTTGCCCTCCAAGGTGATTTTTGCCTTTCCCCCCCTTCCTTCTTATCCATGAATACTCAACAACAGAAACAGAAGAGTGAGAAGAAAGGAGAGAAAAGCACAGAAACGCTTGAGCAGCTCTTCCTGAAGGCGCCGCTGCGGATGGAGGTGGATCGGACCCAAGGCTGGTGCCTGGGGCTAAGGCCACGCTAAGGATTGTTTTTATCAAGTGGGTTGTTCTGTGCCTGCAGCATAGAGCTCAGGCTGGCAGAGCAACTAGGGCTGGCTGAGGAGTGACTGTCCAGGGGAACTAGCAGAGGGCGTTGGGGATGCCAAGGGCTTCTCCACTGGGGAAGCCCAGATTTACTTCTTTCAAAATCATATCATTCCTTAGAGTTTAGGGACCAAAGGACTATTGCTTTTTTAAGAATATATATATATCTATATAAATTAAAACAAAGAAAAAAAGAGAAGCAAACAACAACAAAAAAAGACAGTATAGAGTCTCATAAAAGCTGCCTTTAAATATCCCTAGGAGACAGGGTGAAGGAGACCTTTGACAGTGCCAGCCTAGGCAGAAGGAGGCTGTGGAAAGATTGCTCTGTGTCTCATTCCCTCTTAAGCCACTCCCCCACCCTGCCCTTTTAAAAGTAATTAAGAATTTGAGATCTAGGCTCACATGCAGGTAATGAGAAAGTTATGGACGGAGTGAACTCGCAATCCATAATCCCCAAACTCAGAGTGCATCCCGGAAGAGGCCCCAGGCGGAGCTCAGGCCTGCCCTGGT